CGTCTACACTGGCCCCTTTTCCGGAAGGGGCATGTAAATTTCACCAGTCGTCGTAGGGAAATCCGCGGGGGATTTAAATATCCCCCGTGGCATTTAAATAAAAATGTCCGCCGCTTTTTTCCGGCTTTTAAAAAAGCCGGAAAAGAGCGTCTACACTGGCCCCGATCCTCCGGAAAAAGTGCCCTTTTCCGGAGGATCTTATTCCTACTTCAACCTACTTCAAAGTAGGAATAAGACCCTCCGGAAAAGGGCACTTTTTCCGGAGGATCGGGGCCAGTGTAGACGCTCTTTTCCGGCTTTTTTAAAAGCCGGAAAAAAGCAGCGGACATTTTTATTTAAATGCCGCGGGGGATATTTAAATCCCCCGCAGATTTCCCTACGACGACTGGTGAAATGTACATGCCCCTTACGGAAAAGGGGCCAGTGTAGACGTAGCCTATGTGTTTGTGTTCTTTTCTGGGAGTCTCCAACTATCTTGCAAATACATGGGGATTCCCCTGGGTTACAATTTTCTTCCTAAGCTGCCCTGGTGACCCCGCCAGGAAGGAGTGAGGGGGGTGGAGGCACCGCCAAATAAATCCTTCGGAAAAAATGAAGTTGAGTGGGTGGCGGGATCCAGAAGAACCCAGACCTGTCCATCAAAACCTTTAAGGAGATTGGCTTTAAAGAAGGTAACCAGGTGGAGAGGGGGCGCTACACTTCAAAAAGGTCCCAGATGAAATATTGATGTTATTACCTCTAGAACTCAGCACTTGGGCCCTAGGCATGTGCTTGTTGTGTGTATGCCTTAATCCAGCTGTGTCTTGGGTATGTATCTGAAACTCCTTGATGAGGAATGATGTCTGAGAGCCCATCAGAGCTCAGTCTACTGCAGGGGAAAAGGCAATAAGCCAGTAGTGGCTCACCAGGGATAGCCTTTGGTGGACCACCAGCACTTTATTTATCTGTGCGTCTGCAAGTATGGCCGCTTACAGCTCCTGTTGGCTGAAGATCACCGTTCCCGGCCAATGGAAGCTGTGGGCAGCAGCATGGACCGGGACACTGCTTCCCACCGCTCCGATTCTCCAGGAATGGCAATCCGTGGCCAATGGGAACTGCAAGCAGACATACCTGTGGATGTGCAGTAAATAAAGCAGCAGTCACCTGCCAGAGGCCTACCCTGACAAACTGCATCTGACCCATGAGCTGCTTATTACCCTCTGCTGGTCTACTGCGTGTGACCTTTTATTATGAAGTTTAAGGAGGGCAGAGCTTAGAAGGGTATCACTGCTTTTATTTTTCCCAATTGGAGGCGTGGTTTGCTGAGTAATCCAGTTAGATAACCTATTAAACAAGGAAAGATGAAAATTGTTCTCTTCCTCTTTTCTTTCCTGTTCACAAGATAAAACACTGTAGCTATTTAATTAACACCTCAGTACCCTACCTAGTATGGTAGCGTGTGAGCACTTCATAATCTGTCATTTATTTATCCTCACAACACCCTAGTGAACTAGAGAAGTGCTGTTGCCCTATTTTATAGATGAAGAACTCAGACACAGAGAGTCTAGGGAGATTTCCAAAAGGTGTATAGGCACCTAAAGATGCTGCTACACACCTAAGAGTACTTTTCAAAAATGTAGATGCACATTAGATACCTAACTCCTAGTGCAATCAGTGCTGCTTAGGCATTTCAATAAATCCCACTTGGTATCTTTATGCATCTTTAGGAACCTAAATACCTGTGAAAATCTGTCCCGAGAGTCACGTCTATACTAAAGACTTAGGCCTGTGCACATTTTATCACCATACACTTACCACATTGTTTTTGTGGCTGGATACTTGGCTGCTTGTGTCAATCCTTCACGTGTTTAGTAGGAATGCTTGTGTTGATACAAAGTGCAGTGCATCATAGGTAGGTATCCCAGTGTACCACACACTGCCACCGAGAGCAATGCCTTCTGGGAAATTTTCGCAATGTGTTGTGGGGTAGATATGAGCTGAACAGGGAAATCTAGGAGCTAGGGGTCAGGTTCCCATCATGCAGATGCCACCATCCCCTAATGCCACCACATGCCACAATTTTCATGCTTTTTTTAAGCTCCTACAAA